GCAGTGTGCACAATTCCATTAAGCAAGCTCAGTCACAGTATTTTAATTTATTTTGGCCACGTACAAAATTACCTTTAAATTGAAGGAAACCTGAAAATAGTTGTCTACTAAGATAGAAAAACACGAAAGAGAAAATAATAAACCATAAAGGAACGAGGATGGTTAAGGATGGAGAGGATTAACACGGATTACAAACGACGAACTCGAAAAATTTAGGCTTAACTTTTCAAGATGTACAAACTGTGACCTAGCTCCTTTAAGTGCACTTGAACCCAAGTAGACTTCAAGTGCCGTTGAATGCTGAGTGTGAGCGCAAATGTTTGGAATGCACGTTTTTTTTTTTGTGGCAACCTTGCGTGCTATTGAGCACAAATTTACAAGCGACTAGCTCTACAATTAAAGTCTGGAGACAAGTCATTCTTACTTCAAAACTTAAAAGAGCTCAGTCTCGGTTTGCGCATATTGAAAATTTTAGCCTCAATTTTTCAAATTCGTTTGTTATCCGTGTCAATCTTCTCCTTCCTTAGCCATCCTTGTTCTTTTATGGTTTATCATTATGTCTTTGGTGTTTTTCTATCTTATTAAGCCTTGGTCAAACGGTGCATGATAGTTGATGGTAGTTGATGATAGTCGGTGAAAATTTGAGGACAATCATTCAACCATCACCGACTATCATGCGCCTTTTGACCAAGGCTTAAAACTGTTATTTTCAGGTTTCCTACCATTGAAAGGTAATTTTGTATGTGGCCAAGATAACTTAAAATACCGTGAGATTAACGCCCTGTTATATTAGCCAGTTTTTATTGTAGCTAAGAAAACTGCACAAAATTAACTGATGTGCGTGACACTGCCTGGATATAAACATTTTCCATGCAGCAAGTGTCGCACAACGTAGAACCAAGTTTTCGCAAAGATTACTAGAACGAAAACGTTCGAGAAATGTTTATCTCAAGGGTGTTATTCATTAGGCAACGTTTTTGCAACGAACTTGCGAAACAAGTTCCCAGAAAAATTGTTCAGTGTAACTGTGACTCCGTTTGTTACAGTGAAAACATGATATCAAAGGTACACTGTCACGACCTCGCTATAGAGCTTATCGGTAACAAAGAATACAGTAGTAGGGAGTTTACTCCCAAATCACACTGTAATGGATTTGTTCTGAAGACTACGAAGAAACAAAGCGAAAGATCCTGAACTTTGTAACTAAAGTCAAACCGACGAGATGTGACGCAGGATGATGTTTTATTCCAGCAGTTTTCATCCTACCGTAGATGACTCTCCAGCCACAAATGGTTACAAGCCGTCGAGCAGTTTAGAATATTTAGCCTGTTGGGGTGGAATTGAATATCATAGCTTTTATTGTGAATATAATTAGCGAATGTCCTCGAAAGGGTTAAATAAACCTCTTACGTTTCGTTTTATGTTTTCTTTTTACCATAATATTGAAATCAAACCGACACACCGTTTAAATTTGTAAGAC